AAAATTCTTATAGATTTTAAATACATCTATTACATTTATTGTAAAATGTAAAACATAATAGGATAAAATAAGTTTTGTTTATCAACTTACCAATCAATAATCTATCATTATCATCATCATCATCATCATCATCATCATCATCATCATCAGAGCTAATATTATTTAATGAGAAAACAGTATCAACAGGTAGGTCAATTAATTCATTAGCTGGCGTATTGTTTTCAGATACGTGTGGTAACATTGGAACTAAAATAAAAAATTAATATAACTACATTATTATTTAATTACTAGAAATCTATATTTATGTAAAATTACCTATATAATCTAAACAGTATAATGCAATCAAATATAAATGATTAAAGAAGATTGATGTGTAGGAAAATTGTTCAAAGTTGTATGTTTCTTATTATGATAAATAACAATAGCTGATTTTTTTTCATAGTTATACTAGAAATAAGCAATTTAGTTTATGAAACAAATCTACTAACATTTCTAGATATAAAAATTGAAGCCAGAGCACAATTTTAGGACTTTGTGAAGACATMACACAGAAAATARATATTAAAAACATACAACTAGCAACATTTTGGAGAAAAATGGGTGGCAAGTATTCATTATTATAGGAAGAAGCCTTAAAAATACTGATCTTTTTTTTCAAAATGTAAAASTGTGAAAGTGGATTTGGACAATAGTAACAATGAAAACAAAAGCAAGGAATCGATTGTAACTAACACTACCATTACTCATTAGTTGTAATAAAAACCTTTGTTTTATTCATTTAAAAATTTGAAAAATTATAAATACAATCATAATATATATTTTGTTTTTGTTATTTTTAATCAATTTTTTTTGGCAGTGATGGGTATTTCTTAGTATCTAACCTGATTTATGGGTATTATATACTACTGTAATAGCCTTAAAAATGTTAGGTTGGGTACTGTTGTATTAAACAATCACTTACAAATTTGATATTCATTTGAATTAATGGTATTATTTGTATCAATAACGTTTTTGAATTGAGGTGGTTCAAAAAATGTTGATACATCTGTTTCATTTTCATTATCAATTATTGCAGGAACTAAAATAATAAATACATTTAATAATTAGATGTTCATTATAACTAGCATACTATAGGATTATGTATAAGAGAGGAAGYACATTAATGTATGTATATTTTAAAATTTAACATAAAATACAAATTGCATGTTTGTATATTAAAATATTTTTTAATAAAAAATAATAAACAAATAAAAATGTATTAAGTTTTAAGTTTTATTCTATTAAAAAGACGCTACACCCGTATTTGTTGTCTCCAGTCTTACAAACGCGTAACATAGCAAATTTACGCTCAGCAGTTCACATTTTACTCCGTTAGCTAACACTTAGAGAATAGAGAGACCTTAGAGAGAGACTTAGAGATAGACCTATTATGCAACTTGATGGTAAGAATGTTATCAGTGTTTTGTTAGAAGTTTTTTTATGATAATTCAGTTTTTAAATGAGTTATGAGCATTTTTATTTTAAAATTTATTATACACACTAAACTCACTTAAAAACTGAATTATTGTAAAAATACTTCCAACAAAACACAGATAATGTTCTTACCATCAAGTTTCTTAATAGGTCAAATTAGTTTAATTTTAAAACTAATGGAGTTTAACGTGAATGTTCAGGAACGGCGCTAGGGTTTGCGGGGCCCCGGGAAAAATAAATAACAGTCACATTACATATTATCCAAACTAACTAATCTCTGAACAGTATAAAATAAAATTTAAGAACTGCGGGGCCTTGATTATAATTTTAAAATCGCGGGGCCCGGGGCAACTGCCCCGATTGCCCCCCCCCCCTCATGCCGTCCCTGTGAATGTTGAATGTGAATTTGTTATATTATGGGTTTGTAAGACTTATACAACAAAAGCGGGTGTGGTGCCTCTTAAAAGTTATACAAAAGTATATAAATATTGAAACCTAAAAAGTTATTTAACGTTTTACAAAATATATTGTCACTAGCTACTAAATAATATGAATAACAAGAGAGATGAAAACAATAAGTCAGATGAAAACAATAAGTCAATAAAAATAATAAGAAGTATTTTGGGAAGGTTCAAGTTGCCAAGAATCAACTCCTATATATTTTATGTCTAGGCATAAAATATTATCTAAGTAGTGTAGACTGTGTAGAAAAATAACATTTATTTGTTTAATTAATAATAAAAACCTGGTAAATGTTCATCTTTTAGAATATGTGATATTTTTGTTTGAGTTAATCCATGGTTGATATTTATTTTGACTGATGATAAAATATTTTTTGATTCAGTATCATTACATTTGACTAACATTTCTAAACCTGATAAATAAAATAGAATTGAATATAATCCATAATGTACACACAATATAATAAATTACCTTCTTTGGAATCATTGTTTTTATTTATTATCATAGTGCTATTAGTTAAATGACATCTGTCAAGTTCTGGGCTTTTTTCAGATTTAAAATTATACTTCATGGCTAAAAAAAAAAATCAAATATTGAATACATACAATTTTAATTTWATTAGTTTAAAATACCAGTAGTATCATAGTTAAAATCATCTTCAACTTTAATTTTATTTTTAGTATCAATTTCGGTATTTATTACATGAGAATTACAAGCACTATCACAATCAGAATCATCYTTTTTAATAATATTAATTCTTGGAGAATCTGGAACAATAATAATAGTTTCTGATAATTAAAATGGTTTATTTATATCGGATATAAAGGAATTTATTTTGGTGATAAAAAACATGTCACAATGTAATAATTTTTCAACTAAAAAATGAAAACAGAGGAATAGGTAACTACTCTACTATAAAAAAGGAGAGACGAGTATACTTAGTAATTGGGTGAATCACTATAATGTATGTGTTAGATTTGAATTCAATGAAAAGCTRACATTTTTTGTGAGGGAAATTAAATGATTTATTTAAATTGTAATCAGTTATTATAGTTATTTAGTTCACTATTAGCAATCCAGACAAATAACGGAGAAGAGTCAACAATTTGATAAAGATATGCACTTGCTTTTTGTAGACTTTAAACAAGCATACGACTCAATAGTAAGTACTCAACGGAATGTAATGATTCAACTAGGAATACCAGCTAAACTCGTTAGAATAGTAAAAGCATGTATGCTAAACTCAAGGTGCAAAGTTAAGTTCAACTCAGTAATATCAGAGGAGTTTACAGTGAATACAGGGGAAAGACAGGCACTGTCTCCGGTCTTATTTAACATTGTGTTGGAATCAGTAGTTAAAAGGAATACTTCAAAGAGAGCCTCAAAGCGAATATAGGACAAGGAAAAGAAATAGCATTAGGCTGCGTATGCAGGCACATGACATAGTTGTAATAGCAGAGACAGAAGATAGCCTCAAAGGAACAGCCGAAATTTTAAGAAAGGAAGCMGGTTAGATTGGACTTATTAATGAAAACAAAACCAAATTCATGACTGTATCTAAGAGAGAACATCCACAAAACGCTATAACAGTAAAAGACATGTCATTTGTAAGAGTTTGGAACTTTAAGTACCTAGGAGTAGACAAACTCACAGGCAGATAGCCATGAAGAAATACACAGTCAATCACAGCTGGCAACAAATGCTATTATTCATTAGTCCAACTATTTAAATCTAAAATATTATTAAGAAAAACAAAAATCAGATTATATAAGACCTTTGTCAGACCAAATGTACTGTATGCTTGTGGAGCATGGGCATCTACCAAATATGACGAAAACAAATTAATGATTTTCGAAAGGAAAATCCTACAAAGAATTTTGGACCAAAGAAAAACGATAAAGGTTGCAATGAAATAGGATCAAACAGAGAGCTAAAGAATAAGATGGGMAGGGCGTGTCTGGAGAGCAGAAGGCCAACTTATACTGGTCATCACAAAATGGAAACCGAACAAAAGTTGAGCGAGAAGAAGGCCTAGGCAACAATGGGAGGACCGAATCAAGAAAGACCACAGATTGTTGAGTTATGAACGAAGAAGAATTGGCAGAACACAGAGAAGCATGGAGGGAAATAGTAGAAGCAGCGATGGGTATACATGGCTCAGAATAAGCTTTAAAAAAAGGTTAAATTAATTTTTGATTAGAAACTTTCACTTATTAAATTAATTATAATAATAGTCTATAGTAGTATGTATTTGTATGTTCTGAGCACCTTTTTTACAGGGAGATTTCATTAGTTCAAG